TCATAAGAAGGGATATGTCACTGTCTGCTTCTCCGAACATTTGCCAACCGGCTTGGTGAGTCTGAAGTGGAAGGCTCCTACTTCAGACAGTTGCACTGAGTTGGTTCAGTCCCCCACATTAACAAACCCCTGTTTATTGATATGGGGATGCTTTTCCATGGTTTTAGTGGGGAATCAGCTCTCCCCCACTGCCCCAAAGATGATCGGTCCTCGAATCGTGTAGGTGGCCGGCACCCGAATAAATCTGGAGGCCGTCATAATCATCATACTCCGAGGTGGACATCCAGCAGTCTTTTCACCCGGCTGCTTCACTCGCACTACTTTCTCCACCTGAAATCACAAGATACTCTCCTGAATTCCCGATCCTCTCTGGGTGGAATTTACTGTGTACTATTCGTGGCGCAGGTGATTGACATACTCTCTTGAACATTGGCGTGCGACAAAGAACCCGCCACTCTCTGAAGTCTGCTTTTGTGAGGGGTCTCCTGTAGCTTCCATGTGCATTTGCACAGTACCAAGATCCCCAGCCCATCTGCAAGCTCCAAGCACCGCTCGCGCTTTCTCCGTGCACCGCAGCCGCACAGCACCTTTTCACAAATCCGCCGTCCCATTCCACGCCGAGCGCTTCGCACCCCTCGAGCCTTCTCCAGGGGTCGGAGTGTGCCCAGCTCACATGAAAGGCCAGGCCTGGCCTTGGGCGGTCGAGAAAACCCCGGTGAGAAAAAACATGTGCTACCAATCAAAGGGACCAAACTCGGACCCAGAAAGTCGGACCCTGATCTTCTCCCTAGGGTTGATGACTTGAAGCTGATATTCGGTCCTTATCAGCTGGATCCAACTGTCTGGGTCCAAGGCTGGCCCGATTGAACCAACTGAGAAAGACAGAAACATTCGCAAAGAAAATGGCAAAGGACTGGCCGGAGGTGAGAAGGGATGGTTTTTTTGGGGGCAGGGTTGGAATCTACCATGATCTGTTTTGCCGCAGGATAATGCAAGGAGTCAGCACCAGCTTGATCCATACGTTCCATGTGAAAGCAAGAAACTCAGTTCAGCAGCCATGCACTCCTGCCAAAGTCAGCTGCAAAACCAAGGCTGGTTGCTCTTTGGCACAGACCGAGGCAAGACTACTCCCGGTTGATGCCCCTTTGCTGACACATGGTCAGTCACTTACTTCGCCGCGGTTCCATGTTTTTAGTCTGCAGATCAACAAAAGATGTACATCCTTTGTAGTTGGTTGGCGTTGACCACAATCAGGAGCAAATCAAGACGACAAAACTTCGAAGCCAAAGCAGTGGGATAACTTTCACATTCACTGCCGGTCGTCCAACACTTTGCCCGCTTTTCCCAAACCAAACACTGCCCAATAAGTAAGCCTGCTTCAAAGAAGGCCGAAAAGGCCGCAAACTCGGTGCCATCGTTCGAACATCTGAAGGCCTTGGACAGTGCCTCAAGCCTTGAGCCATTTCCTGGCCCTTCACCCTACCCCCGCAATCCCACCACCTCCACCTCCACCCCCACCACCCCCCCACCACCCCCACCACCCCCACCACCCCCGCCGCCCCCACCACCACCTCCACCACCCCCACCTCCAGCACCCAACCGCCCTTGCATGCAGGGCGCCGGTCATCGCCGCCTGGGTGACAATGCCGCTGAAGGCGAACATGGCGAGGCGGCCGTTCTCCAGCTCCTGCCGGTCTCCAGCCTGGTTTACCTTGACTCAAACGAGGCCATGGCCTCGTTCCAGCAACCAACACTGCTGAGTCTGTTTTGCCACTTTCGTATGAGTCAAGGACATGGGACCACTCAATGAGAACCACTTTTGCAACCAAGAAAGGTACCCAAATTCATGGTTGGCACCCGCCGACCAGCAATGATGGCAGGTCGCGAACTTTTTTGGCAAACTGCTTTCCTCCTGGAAAGGGAGGAAAATGCAAGTGCTTGGGGAGAAGAAAGTTGCAATGTCTGCTTGCTTGGAGCCGCCTGCGTCTGCTGTCTCAAGCTCATCCTATTGGGGAGCGGCAACCTCCGCGCCATTTTGCCCAAAGAAGCCACAGAGCGACTTGCACATGTGTGGCCCTGAAAGCGGACCGCCAAAAGCTTCCCTGAAAACCGTGGGTGAGAAAAAAGAAACTCCTGGTCATTCCACCAACTTCAAAAGCTCCTGCCAAAGACACCGGAGAAAAGTGCAACATGGAGGTTTGTCTGTCTCAAGGGAACCCCCCCCCCCCAGGAATGCTTCCCTTCAAAACCTCCCCCCCAAAAATGCCAACTCACAAAGAGACGAGCCTCGCAAAACCCCTTGAGGCCCTCTCCTTGAGGCGCATGTCCTTCTCCTTCTCAGGCTCCTGCCCCAACTTTCCCAGCGCAGGGGCAAGCCCCGCCAAATGGTCCCTTGAAACCGACCCCAAGAAGCCTCCATGCCCTCCCAAAACCACCGACCCCTTGGGCATTTCTCCCAAAAAAAAGAAGGGCCACGACGTTACGACATGAGACCGCTAGGTCCTGGGGTCCTTGGGCAGCTTTGATTTTCCCCGGTTTCTGCGCCGAAACAGCGGACCTGCGTGCTCGCAAATGGCCGCATGGAGCAAAACATAGCCCCTCACAACCTTCCGACCTTCGACCACGCCCGGGGAAAAAAGAAACGCGCGGGTTCTAGGCTCCTTGGGCAGGAACTGCTTGCCCAGGAAGAAGTCCCCGGCGTCGCGGTTGATGTTCATCTCCCAGCCCTGGAAGAAGAGCCACAGGGAGTAGAGCTCAAAGGTGCCGATGGCCCCCAAGAAGGGCGCCATGTACCCCGCCTCCTGGGCGAGGGGATTTATATTTTTTGGGGGGGGAAAACAAATCCGAGCCAGCCGTCCCCGTGGGTTTCCCCGAAAAAAGAGAGAGGCCCCCATGGTTCCCCGAAAAAGAGAGAGAGAGAGAGAGAGAGAGAGAGAGAGAGAGAGGCCACGTGTTTCTACGGAGCAAAGAAGAAGAAAAAAAACATAGGGCTTCGGGTTCCTGCAAGGTCGGGTGCATCGTTTTCCGGAATTCCTGGTGACATGCGCGAAATTGCGCTGGTGGCCGCAGGGGCCTTTGTCAAGAGCTTGAAGCAGACTTCGCGGTGTGCACCTCTTACTCCTCTGAAACAGATGCGTGTTTTTCTTCATTCCGGGTTCAGTTTCAAGTTTCAGGTGAGTGTTTCTCGATTGGGGCAAGACTGCATGGTTCTCGGCATGCGTTTGAGTGTTTGCTTGTTTGTGTTTGTCCATTTTTGTTTGAGCGGGGCCCTGCAAGCAAATTACGGCAGCAAGAGGAAGATAGATATCATCATGGACAAGAGAGTATAAAAACAAAAAGAGTTACAAAACGACAACAACAAGTAAGCAAGCGAGCGAGCACGCTTTCCTGTATTCATGACGAAATCTAGTCTTGCATCCCCCCACGACCCCATTCTCTGCAGTAATTGCAACAGGTTGGCTTGCATTGGGTAAGGGTTGCCTGCAGCTGGGGAAGGGAGGTGGGAAGCCTTGACTGCTTTTTCTTTAGTGCTGCTTTGTAGCTGGGCGGTAAGTGGGACGTGAGCCTTTCGTTTGCCTGCTTGTGTTGCTTTGTTTTGCTTTGTTTTGCTTTGGTTTGCTTTGTTTTGCTTTGTTGCGTTTGGTTTTGTTTGCTTTGGTTCGCTTTGCTTTGGTTTGCTTGTAACCAACATGGAACTTAGCTGGGTTGTCCTCAGATCCCCCGCCTCAAAGCTTAGATGTTAGTGGGTTAAATAAGAATCCCCAAGCTCAGGAACCGGACGGCTGGGAACCACCAAGTCAGGGTCAGCATACAAGGCAGCATGGCTGACCGGCTAAAAGGACTTGATTGGCCCCGTTTAGAGGACCGTGCTTTGGCTTCGTGGCAGCCTGCCCTTCACAAACTCACATGGAGCTGTGCAGCAAAATCCAAACTCATTGATCTAAGGAACACAAACGTAAGATGACGGAAAAGGCGGCTCAAAGCTATGGCACCGTCAACACCTGACACGAATACCCGGTCTCAACGAATCGGAAGCAACTCTTGGCTCACCGGATTATTTCATTTCCGGGACTGATCCCAACCGGGATCTGCCTGGGATATCCTAACACCTGGGTTCTCTTTTTCGAGGGTGCCCTTATAGGTCCTTTGTTTTAAAGGGAGAAACCCACGGGAAACCCCAAGGAAACGCCACAGTCCCACCCCCTTGGCGCGGTTTTTTGGCCCCCTTTGCACCCACCGACCCCGGCCGAGGCTCCACCATCTTGTCGTGGGCCTCCAGGGTGGTGGACACCGACTGGAAGGCGTCCCCCGGGAAGCGCATGCCCAGGTCCGTGGCGATCCACCCCACCGTGGCCAGCATGCCTCGAACGGCTTCGGAAGGCGACGCTGGCAGTCGGCAGTCGGCAGGCCACGGGCGGATCGCCGAAATGGCGCCCAAGTGGCAGGCTAAGGGGAACAGCGCCATCTGACTTTGATGATCCCCAGAAACAGTGAACAAATAGCAACCCATTCAAGGATGTCTTTGATTGGAAAGCTGGAAGATCGATATACGAGGGTACACACATGTATATTTAGTGTGCACTTGCATATTTAAGGCGTGTGCCCTGGGAAGTTGCATCCTTTTGCCGCAGATCTGGATGGACGGGGTTCGGGCGGAGAGGTTGAGGCGTGGGTATTTCCAAATGTGGCTCTTCAAATATCGCAAAGGGAGTATCCCAACTTCGACAGGATGTGCGCGCCACCTGAAAGGTCATCATGGGACCTGCTGGCTGTCCACTCAAACACAACCTTCAATCCATTGGGGCCATTGTTTTGGCTGGGGATTGTCAACGCCAAGGTCAGGCCATGGAGCTGTTTCCCTTTCACCTACTGGAACCAAAAGACCAAAGACCAAACTCCCATCCAACTCGCGCCAAGCCGCAGACCCGGCCGTGCTTCAGCTCTGCCTCCCGGACCCAGTACACCGGCAGCGCGTCCGTGACGCCCAGGGGGTCGAAGCCCTAGGTGCGGCTTGGAGTGACCGGGGACGGGATGCGCTGACCATCGCTAAGTCAAGCCCGGTTCAGCCCAACGGGCAAAACCCCCCACGAAAACGGGGGAAGCACCCCGCAACTGGTGGGTTTATCAAATTATCAGTCAAGGCATGGGGCTTCCCCGCCAAAAAGATCTGGCTGGACCCGAGCCTCAACCCTGTCAGGGGAAGCTCACTCAAAGAGCGGAATTTGCGGTAGTCTTAATTTGTCTTCTGTCTTGGAAAACCGTAAAGATGCAAACACGGCTTGCCCAAGTGTTGCTGAGATGCTCTTGGTGCATGCAATCCGCTCACCCCAATGCCTGAGAACAGATTCATTCATAGGACAGCTAAACATGGAGACAAAGTTGAAAGGGGCAAGTTGGTCAAGTGAACCAGCAAATTGATGGTTCCTCCCCCCTACATCGTTAGTTCCCTGCAAAGCCAATTCCAGGATGCACAATGCCAAATTCAACAAGTGCCAAAACCGCCTCTGGAGGGTCAAACAGTCTCAAGCACCGGCGCAAAAAAAAGCTAGAAACAGAAGGGTTCCAAGGCTCTGAAATGCGACTGTACCCAATTGAGGCTACAAGACCTGCGAAACACCGACCAAGGGGAAGCGCAGATCTGCAACCGCTTTCGTCCTGAAAGGCGACCACAGATTCGGAAGAAACTTGCGGATGAGCTGATGAACCTCGAAAGTGAAGCCTCCCCTCGTTTGAAGGACACCCCTCGTTCATCAGCCAAAGGAATGCCCAAACCAAAACGAACCCCCCACACCTCAACTTAGAAGAAGAAAAACACCCAGGCCAACTCGGGTTCCTCACCCACCTACCCCCATTCCCCAACTACCCCCACCTACCTACCCCCACCTACCTACCCCCACCTACCTACCCCCACCTACCTACCCCCACCTACCTACCCCCACCTACATACAGTAGTCGGGGGCCTTGCCCCGCAAATAAATTGCTTCATACATACCCCCCACCCTACATTTTTTTTCATCTTCCATCTTCTACCCTTATTCGTTTTCATCATTTTTCTACATTCCTTTCTGTCCATCTCATCCGTTTTTTTCTCATCATTTTTCCAAAATTTTCGCCATCCTTTTCTCCTTCCTCCTCGCCTCATTCATTTCACCAACTACCCTCCAAAATGTCATTTCCTCAATCTCCTCACCTCATCCATTTCAAAAAAAGAAATTTTGCAAAATATATTGCAAAACATATTTGTCATCAAAAAAATATTCGAACTGGCTAAAAACGATTTGTCCATTTCCCGGACAAGAAATAGAACAGCAACAACATCACTCCCTCCTTCGTTTCATCACTTTTATCATATATTTGTTTGGGGCGTGGTGTCCCTTGTAGGATTTTATCTTCAATATATGAAACGCTATACTTACATTATAATTATAACATATAAGGGTATAAATGTTATTATTATAGTATGGTTATGAAATTAATAATAGCTACCAACACTTTCATTATCGCTAACTTCTTCTTCGCTTTTGTAGAAGTCTTCAGTGCCTAATATATGATAAAACCGGATATGCCATTCTGCTTCTGTTCTAAATGGCATCATTGATAAAAGTGCTCTCATAGCGTCATAATATTGACTTGTCAGTATTTTTCTACCATTAATGTTCATATCATCAATATTATTAATAAACCATAGATGCTTAAACTTATATTCAATATTAAATATGTAAGAATAATCGTAAAATGTTTTTAATTCTAAGTATATTTCATATTCAGTTTTTTTACCATCTAAATATTCAGTCAAAGACATTATCCAGAATGGATTTCTTTTTACCTTTTCCCAAGTTGGAAAAGGGTGTTTAATGATATCGTTATACCTGTAAGGACATATATCATAACAGTTATATGACATAATATTCAATCTAATTTCTAATGGTAAATTGTTAAGTTCCATTTCTATTATAATATATAGTGTTTATTTCTTTAAATACTTTTTTACAAGAAATAAAATTAAATATTGAAATATAATTATAACATATAATATTTTACATGTTATTATTATATTATGATTATAATTTCAGTTCAGGATAACTATTTAATTGATATGTTTTACTTCTTTCATACATCATTTTAAAAATAAGATTAATATCTCTCACTGTATTTTTCACATTAAACTTTTTGCTTTCAATATATGATTTTATGACTTTTTTTACATCAACGCCGGGTTTACTATAATAAATCAACATCCATAATATGTCATTAATCATTTCACACTTTTTCTTACTGATTTTAAGAAACTGTTTAACATAATCGTAAGGTGGTCTTTCATACACAGTTAAAAATATCAATATTTCATCTTCAACATTTCTTTCATCTATATTTTTAAACGCCAAACAATTTTCTATTATATTTTGATATCGTCTCCATCTTCTACAAGTTCTACATATATTTTCTTCGTCCAAAGAATAATCAATAATATTATTAACTATTCCATTAGGTAAATTCAATTTATATAATTCCATATTTTCCTTTTTGAAGTGGCAACAGTCGTAGCATTTCTTATTGATATAATTATTGATTTCGGTTTCCACCATTGCTATTATAATATATATAGTGTTTATTTATTTAAATATTTTTTACAAGAAATAAAACTAAATATTGAAATATAATTATAACATATAATATTTTACATGTTATTATTATAGTATGGTTATAGGTTAATTTCAGGATAATAATTTAATTTGATATGTTCATATTTGGTAAAATTATGTTCATGAATGTATTTTAGTATGTCATTAAATTCTTTCAGTTTACTTGATGGTACAAAATGGTTTAAACGCGTAGGGTCATGTAAACGACTGTTAAATCCAGATCTGTATTTCTTAAACCTGCTTGGTGCCAAATTAAACTGTAGCTTTAATTCTTCTTCCTTTGGGAATTTATATAACTCATTAAAATAGTATACTGTAGAGACATCACTAAAATATCTATTCGCGTGGTCAATTGTCTGGTTCAAATGAATGCAGTTATCGCATTTGCATTTACGTTCTCCATATTCTTTGACTAACCTAATGGCATTGAATGGCAACTTCAAATAAAGTAATAGTGATGAATTGTAATTATGTTTGGATAGTTCGTGTTTGAGAATCTTTTCTGTTTCATTTTTGTTTAAGTCATCCAAGAATTTATTAATAATCTCTTCTTGCTCTTTCTCTGTAAATTCAACCATTTCTATTATAATATATATAGTTTTTATTTCTTTAAATACTTTTTTCCAAGACATAAATTTATACCTTTAATAACTCATGTCTCAAAAATGCCCTGTCATAATTTTCAATATAATAATATTCCTGTCCTAACTTCTTTTCAATCTTTGCTATTTTGTAGGTTTGTTTAGTCCATACTCCTACTCTCTCCTTTTCGTTTGGTCTCCTTTTCCTGAATATCTTAACTTCATTTCCTACATTTAAATCTGGATAAACTCTATTTCTTTTGGCTTTCATACCTAAATTTAAACTCACTTCTAATTGATGTTTAGGCTTTCTTGCTTCTGACGGTGTTAAGCCGTGCGAAGTGTGCTTTATTCCATTGTTATAAGTTAATATAATCTCGTGTATGTAGTCTGTCCATTGAATAGCCTTTCCTTTTTTCTCATCGTTTTCAACCCTCTTATACAAGCTATCTTTAAACGTCCTTATCGCCCTCTCCGCAAATGCTGGGTGTCCTCTGGTTTTGTGCAACTCTATTTTTTCATCCTTCAAGAAATCTATAACGCTTTGATTATTATAAGCTCCTTCGTCGTCAATATAAATTAGTTTGGGCTTTCCATCCATTTTTTTAATACATTCCATCAGTCCTGCTAAAATGTCCGCTGGCTGTTTTGACATAAGCGGGACAACAACCATATACTTAGAAAATATGTCAATACACATCATGCCAACTTTCATTTTTTGTTTAGGGATATCATTAATGAAAAATAAATCAATTTGAAACTCATAATATGCGTTAGGAGCTACAAATGAATTCTGTCCTCTTGGCTTGGCTTTCTGTTCTACATTCTTCCTAAAAAACTCATTGATATCATTAATAGTAATTGATTTATCTTTTTGTCTTGCTTCTTGTAAAGTGCGGTTCTTTGACCCGAAGCCTCCCTTATCATAATAAACATTATTAATAATATCTTGCTTAGATGCCATATAAAATAAGATAGATATTATTTTTCCCGGCGATTACAGTTTAAACAGTAAGATATACAGTTTTCCTTATGATGGGCATAATCGTTGTTTATTCTTTGGGCTGTCATATTGCTATTTATTACTCCATTATTTATTTCTATGTCAAAATCTGAACTGCATTTATTACATCTGGTATTAAGCCTGTCAAATAACCATTTGACATCAATATATTGTTTGTTGTCTATTTCTCTCTGCTTTTATGTCTTGTAATTTATATTGTTTAATCTTATGTTCTAAATATCTGGCTACTTGTGCTTCATTTAAATCAGTATCATCTACGTCTGCTTTGAAAAACTTGACTTTATTGATATCTCTGCATCTCGTGAGGGCTGTCCAAATCCACTCACGGCTGACCAAATGTGATTTATCCCATTCGTGTATAGTAATGCTTTTATCTAGAGAAGCCCCTTGAGACGAATGACATGTAGCACAATACGCATGTATAAAGTGCTTGTCTAAAGTCGTGGTGTTTGTCATGAATATAGTTTTACTTTTGATATCTTGGATTTCTACTTTCCAATCATCAATACTAATAATTTCATAAGTAATATTTACATTAAACACCTGCCCCATTTCTTTTTTATAAACTCTGCATATCACATGCTCTCCAATTTCATATTTATCTGTCTTTCCTAAATTATTTCTTACGGTTTTGCTCACCCATTTGCACCTAGCATTAGTATAGGCTATGTTATGCTCTCCTTCCATGATGTCGCTTGTAGTTTCAAAATGTTTATTTACTATTTCCTTAATGGGCAGTTTAGTTTTCCAAA